TTTATTGTTTTTAATAATTTCTTTTGGGTCTTATTGGGTTAGTTAAGTTGTTAGTTCTGTGTTATGGTAACAGTGGCCTGAGTCTGTTTCAACATTTGCCAAACCAACTGTCTAGTGCCATTCTTGAAATCGGGGGTTTCTTGCTAGTAGTAGGCTGGTTGGGTTGCTAGGCCCCACGGGTGGTGGGTGATTGGGTGGAGGGCTCACCTCTTCCTTCAACTCGTCTTGCATGCCTTCCATTGTGCCTCTAACCCGTGTGCCATCTTTCTAACAGTGACCATTGTTACTGCATGCCATTTTGTTGTGCCCTGCTAATCATGTGTGTTTTTGTCTTGCAGTGTTACGTCGCATGACACACAGGTGGTGGTGGTGAATAGGGGTGGGAATCTTTGGGCACCTCACGATTCGATTACGATTACGATTCAGGGGCTATGATTCGATTATAAAACAATTATTGATGCATCTTTAATTTATGTATATTGATGCACTTTTTCACAACACACATTTCTTTTTGTCTCACTGAATAAGCATTCAACACTTGCAATTTTTAAAAACAGTGCATTTGTAATAAGAAAGAGTTGAATTCATTTCCATTATATTTTATTAAACATATAAATGGAAATGCTTGCAAACTGGAAAGTTACAACTTCGTTGTACGGAACCAAAGGTAACAACAGGTATCTTAAATCACAAGATAAAATGCGCAGTTTGAGTAACAAATGATTCGGTGGCGACAGACGTCCACGCATCACATGTAACCGCGTTCCTGCCTGCCTGCCTTCAACAGTGAGGCCATGACTTCTGTTTTGGTTTGATGGTAGAGTGTCGGTGAAATAGCGTCGGGATGGGATGGTGTATCTGGGCTCCAGTGTATGCAGCAGTGCTCGAAATCCCTGATTTTCCACGACAGAATAAGGACGCAAATCCTTGGCAATAAATGCTGCGACAGCCTTCGTAATTCGCTTCGCTTTTTCCGATGAGGGTGGCAGCTTTCTAATTGCTTCCTCGATTGTTCTCTGGTCGGTAGCGCCACTAGTTGCGGCAGCAACAACAGCCTGCCGTCTCCTCCGTCAGGTGGAATCGAGTTACATGGCTTCTCATGTTTGTTGTGTTGCCAAAGTATTTTATTTTAGCACGACACAGCTTACATATAACGTGGCTCTTGTCCAGTTCGCTTCCGCCGTCAACGTTGTAGAAGCCGAAGTATTTCCACACATCTGCTTTTAAATCAGAAGAAGCTGTTCAGCTCTCACGGCGAGGTGGGTAGCGGTCAGCCATGTTTGTTTTCCTCTGTGCGCGTGTCGGCGTGTCTGCTCCAGGTGCGCATCCCAAAGTGTCCCGGAGATGACACGTACCGCGCTTCTTAGTTCCGCATTATTTAGACGAACCTTCTGTATTACTCTAATTAACAGATTTAAATAATCGAAATTTGGACGTTTGTGAATCGATTCAGATTCGTCCACGTCCGAATCGCAATGCATCTAAGAATCGGAAATTTCCCCCACCCCTATGGGGGACCCCCCTATAATACACCAGGCACCTTCTCTCTCTGTCTCTCTCTCTCTGTCTCATTGTGTCATATGGATTACTGTTAATTTATTATGCTGATCTGTACTGTACGACATCTATTGCACGTCTGTCCGTCCTGGAAGAGGGATCCCTCCTCAGTTGCTCTTCCTGAGGTTTCTACCGGTTTTTTTTTCCCTGTTAAAGGGTGTTTTTGGGGAGTTTTTCCTGATCAGCTGTGAGGGTCATAAGGACAGAGGGATGTCGTATGCTGTAAAGCCCTGTGAGGCAAATTGTGATGTGTGATATTGGGCTTTATAAATAAAATTGATTGATTGATTGATTGATTGATAAACTGAATCCAACTGAAATCATGTGGCGGCAGAATTTGTGACATCATCAAACATCAAACAGTCCAAATAAACAATAATCAGATCTGATCTACAGCCTGATCAGAGAGCGTGTCCTGGACTCACCATCTCCTGTCCTCCTCCTCCATCAGCTTCATCTCCTCCATCACTCTGTTCAGCTCGTCTCTCTCTGCAGACAGCTCTGCCTGTTTCTGTGTGTTCAGGTCCACTGCAACACACACACACACACACACACACACACACACACACACACACACACAAAACTAAGGAACTACTTTCAGCAGCGGAGTAATAATTACATCTGACAGAGAGCGTGTCTCTTACGTTTGTGTTGGATCTGCAGACGTCGAGCCTCCACCACCTCCTCCATCAGTCTGTTTCTGGCCTCTCGCTGCAGTCGGCTCTGCTCCTCTCTTTTAGCCCAAACCTCCTTCAGTTTCTCCTCCATCAGCTGCTCCGTCTCCTCCTCCTCCCTCCTCTGCTTCTGCAGCTCCTCAGACAAATACTGCTGGTACCTCCACTGCTCCTCACGCAGCTCAGCCTGAACAACACAGAGTACAGCGGGGAGGTCGACATGTTTCAGATATTCAAAAACAGGCTGCTCCTCCATCAGCTTTTAGCAAGCAGGCTCACGCTGTGTGGTGGCGAGCCCAAAATGTCTGTCAGGAGGTCAGCTGGGGACGGTTGTTACACAGTCAGTCCACATGTTATAGTCCACATGGTCTCAGGTGTTTTTGATTATACACACACACACACACACACACATTGCTTGTTGTATCTAAACAGTAACGTACTTCATCCATCTGTTCCAGTCTCACTGTTTCATTTCATGTTATATTCATAATGAACTGTTGTGAAACAGTAGCTTTATAAAGGTTTGATTTTTTTCAGCACTTTAACCTCCTTCATATTATTTCTCATGACAGAGGATCCTCCTGGAGTAACTTTACATGGGAGGCTGAGCAGTGTGACGCTAACGGTAAAAACTAAAAGACTCAAAAGCTCCTTTTTTTTTTTTTTTTTGAAACCCTATCATTGACTCTGGGGACCACCTGCCCCCCCCCCACAGTGACAGTCTGTGATGGGGTTGGCTGTCACAGTGTGTCAGAGAGTCTTTGATGGTTAATCACAGGTAAAGTCTGGGATTTACCTTCTTGTGAGCAGCTTCCTGTTTGTCATCAGTTTCCTGTTGGAGCAGCGTCTGCAGGATGTTCATGTCCAGCTGCAGCTCGTCCTGCTGCTCTCGAGCCAGACGCTTCATCTTCAGCCGCAGACACTGATCCAGCTGCCGCCGTCTGCCCTGCTGCTGCTGCAGCATCGTCTGCTGCTGGCGCTGCTGCTGCAGCCGCTGCATCTGCTGCTGCTGCAGCTGGTGGAGACAAGATGAGACTCATCTGCGGGGTATTCCAGGTAGGAGGTTCAACAAACTCTGAGTCTAACCCTGAACTCTGAGTTGATTTACCCTGAGATGGGAAACTCTGAGTTACCGGTTCCAGAACAGCTGATCTGAGTTAGTTCAGTCAACTCTGAGTATGTTCACTCTGAGTTAAGCCGACAATAAAAAGCCATCATCAATGGAGCGCCGACTCCACGATTCACCATGGCAACAGGTAAATAAAAGACAGCGCCTCCATTTTAATCCAGTGGATGTAGAGATATTAATGCATGTGTAGCAGACGGTGCACGTTTATCTTTAAAAGAAGAGCCTGAGTCAGAGCGAGGAAAGTGTCAATAAGTTAACCATAAAGTTAATAAAAAAGTTTATTCATCATTTATCAGACTTACATTTCCTTAATGAAGATAAAGTGGTGGAATCTGACTGTGTATCAGGCTGTAGATACATTACATTATATTAATAATATATAATAATATATTTGTTCAGATTTAATCTGATGGGGAAAAACACAGGAGGCAGAAGATTTAAAACATATAGGCTAGGCTATAGATCAAAGACATAAAGACATGACTGTAAACTCACAGTCTGACCCAGTAATAATATGTTTGGTGATTTGCACTTGAAAAGACGTTGAGGTTAAAATACAGTAGATTTTAAAATGTTGCACATCTATTTGTATCTTGACTCAACAGCATTCAGTGACTTTATTTCAGCTACAAATGTAGTAAATGTAAAGACAGTGAAATGCTGCACCATTGCTCACTCAGAAATATGAACATATAATCCCCAATATTAGGCTATAGGAATTATGTTCCATCAGTGCGACCAATGACATCAGTGATAGAGATCATTAGTCATTGATACTACGTGTCTAAAGCTTCATACCCATTTTTAACATTTAAATAATTAGACCTACACATTATGTGCAATAAACATTTGGGAGCTGCTCTAACAGACTGACAGTCTGATCCTTGTGCACAGTGTTATAAAAATAATAAATATAAAAAGGACAGAGGTTTGATTCTGAGCTGAGGGTGAATTCTCGCTGTGTAATATTTGAATGTAAAGACAAAAACTGATGTCCAAAGAAATGACTGATGTGCATAAATTCAGCAACTTAAGACAGTCCTGAGTAACAAACTAATATCCAGCAGGATTTAGACTGTGACAGACGGTAAATCTCCGCTAATGAATGCGCTTCCATACAAGCTTTGACACGGACTGAATGAATGAGGAAATGAAACAGCGTGTAAGAGGGAGGAGACAGAGGAAAACCTAACCAGCGAGCAGGTTAGGTTCACAGACTCAGTTGCCATGGTGATTGACTCAGAGTTTGATTTACCTCTCTTTCTGGAACTGACTTTTGGTAATAGTTTTTAAAGACAATGAAACATTTGGTAATAGTTTTTAAAGAGAATGAAACTTTTGGTAAAAGTTTTTAATGAGAATTAAACTTTTTGTAATAGTTTTTAATGAGAATGAAACTTGCTGTAATAGTTTTTAATGAGAATGAAACTTTTTGTAAAACTTTTTAATGAGAATAAAACATTTGGTAATAGTTTTTAAAGAGAATGAAACTTTTGGTAAAAGTTTTTAAGGAGAATTAAACTTTTTTAAATAGTTTTCAAGGAGAATGAAACTTTTTGTAATAGTTTTTAAAGAGAATGAAACTTTTTGTAATAATTTTAAAAGAGAGTGGAACTTTGTGTAATAGTTTTTAATGAGAGTGAAACTTTTTGTAATAGTTTTTAAAGAGAATGAAACTTTTTGCGATAGTTTTTAATGAGAATGAAACTTTAGGTAATAGGTTTTAATGGGAATGAAACTTTTGTAATAGTTTTTAAAGAGAATGAAACTTTTGGTGATAGTTTTTAATGAGAATGAAACTTTTGGTGATAGTTTTTAATGAGAATGAAACTTTAGGTAATAGGTTTTAATGGGAATGAAACTTTTGTAATAGTTTTTAAAGAGAATGAAACTTTTGGTGATAGTTTTTAAAGAGAATGAAACTTTTGGTAATAGTTTTTAATGAGAATCAAACTTTTGGTGATAGTTTTTAAAGAGAATGAAACTTTTTATAATAGTTTTTAATGGGAATGAAACTTTTGTAATAGTTTTTAATGAGAATGAAACTTTTTGTAATAGTTTTTAAAGAGAATGAAACTTTTGGTGATAGTTTTTAAAGAGAATGAAACTTTTTGTAATAGTTTTTAATGAGAATGAAACTTTTGGTGATAGTTTTTAATGAGAATGAAACTTTTTATAATAGTTTTTAAAGAGAAAGAAACTTTTTGTAATAGTTTTTAAAGAGAATGAAACTTTTTGTAATAGTTGTTAATGAGAATGAAACTTTTGGTAATAGTTTTTAATGAGAATGAAACTTTTGGTGATAGTTTTTAATGAGAATGAAACTTTTGGTAATACTTTTTAATGAGAGTGAAACTTTTTGTAATAGTTTTTAATGAGAATGAAACTTTTGGTGATAGTTTTTAATGAGAATGAAACTTTTGGTAATAGTTTTTAATGAGAATGAAACTTTTGGTGATAGTTTTTAATGAGAATGAAACTTTTGGTAATACTTTTTAATGAGAGTGAAACTTTTGGTAATAGTTTTTAATGAGAATGAAACTTTTGGTGATAGTTTTTAATGAGAATGAAACTTTTGGTAATAGTTTTTAATGAGAATGAAACTTTTGGTGATAGTTTTTAATGAGAATGAAACTTTTGGTAATACTTTTTAATGAGAGTGAAACTTTTGGTAATAGTTTTTAATGAGAATGAAACTTTTGGTGATAGTTTTTAATGAGAATGAAACTTTTGGTAATAGTTTTTAATGAGAATGAAACTTTTGGTGATAGTTTTTAATGAGAATGAAACTTTTGGTAATACTTTTTAATGAGAGTGAAACTTTTGGTAATAGTTTTTAATGAGAATGAAACTTTTGGTAATAGTTTTTAATGAGAATGAAACTTTTGGTAATAGTTTTTAATGAGAATGAAACTTTTGGTGATAGTTTTTAATGAGAATGAAACTTTTGGTAATACTTTTTAATGAGAGTGAAACTTTTTGTAATAGTTTTTAATGAGAATGAAACTTTTGGTGATAGTTTTTAATGAGAATGAAACTTTTGGTAATAGTTTTTAATGAGAATGAAACTTTTGGTGATAGTTTTTAATGAGAATGAAACTTTTGGTAATACTTTTTAATGAGAGTGAAACTTTTGGTAATAGTTTTTAATGAGAATGAAACTTTTGGTAATAGTTTTTAATGAGAATCAAACTTTTGGTAATACTTTTTAATGAGAGTGAAACTTTTTGTAATAGTTTTTAATGAGAATGAAACTTTTTGTAATAGTTTTTAATGAGAATGAAACTTTTGGTGATAGTTTTTAATGAGAATGAAACTTTTGGTAAAAGTTTTTAAGGAGAATTAAACTTTTTTTAACAGTTTTCAAGGAGAATGAAACTTTTTGTAATAGTTTTTAAAGAGAATGAAACTTTTTGTAATAATTTTAAAAGAGTGTGGAACTTTGTGTAATAGTTTTTAATGAGAATGAAACTTTTTGCAATAGTTTTTAATGAGAATGAAACTTTTTGTAATAGTTGTTAATGAGAATGAAACTTTAGGTAATAGTTTTTAATGGGAATGAAACTTTTGTAATAGTTTTTAATGAGAATGAAACTTTTGGTAATAGTTTTTAATGAGAATGAAACTTTTGGTAATAGTTTTTAATGAGAATGAAACTTTTGGTAATAGTTTTTAATGAGAATGAAACTTTTGGTAATAGTTTTTAATGAGAATGAAACTTTTGGTAATAGTTTTTAATGAGAATGAAACTTTTGGTAATAGTTTTTAATGAGAATGAAACTTTTGGTAATAGTTTTTAATGAGAATGAAACTTTTGGTAATAGTTTTTAATGAGAATGAAACTTTTGGTAATAGTTTTTAATGAGAATGAAACTTTTGGTAATAGTTTTTAATGAGAATGAAACTTTTGGTAATAGTTTTTAATGAGAATGAAACTTTTGGTAATAGTTTTTAATGAGAATGAAACTTTTGGTAATAGTTTTTAATGAGAATGAAACTTTTGGTAATAGTTTTTAATGAGAATGAAACTTTTGGTAATAGTTTTTAATGAGAATGAAACTTTTGGTAATAGTTTTTAATGAGAATGAAACTTTTGGTAATAGTTTTTAATGAGAATGAAACTTTTGGTAATAGTTTTTAATGAGAATGAAACTTTTGGTAATAGTTTTTAATGAGAATGAAACTTTTGGTAATAGTTTTTAATGAGAATGAAACTTTTGGTAATAGTTTTTAATGAGAATGAAACTTTTGGTAATACTTTTTAATGAGAGTGAAACTTTTTGTAATAGTTTTTAATGAGAATGAAACTTTTTGTAATAGTTTTTAATGAGAATGAAACTTTTGGTGATAGTTTTTAATGAGAATGAAACTTTTGGTAAAAGTTTTTAAGGAGAATTAAACTTTTTTTAACAGTTTTCAAGGAGAATGAAACTTTTTGTAATAGTTTTTAAAGAGAATGAAACTTTTTGTAATAATTTTAAAAGAGTGTGGAACTTTGTGTAATAGTTTTTAATGAGAATGAAACTTTTTGCAATAGTTTTTAATGAGAATGAAACTTTTTGTAATAGTTGTTAATGAGAATGAAACTTTAGGTAATAGTTTTTAATGGGAATGAAACTTTTGTAATAGTTTTTAATGAGAATGAAACTTTTGGTAATAGTTTTTAATGAGAATGAAACTTTTGGTAATAGTTTTTAATGAGAATGAAACTTTTGGTAATAGTTTTTAATGAGAATGAAACTTTTGGTAATAGTTTTTAATGAGAATGAAACTTTTGGTAATAGTTTTTAATGAGAATGAAACTTTTGGTAATAGTTTTTAATGAGAATGAAACTTTTGGTAATAGTTTTTAATGAGAATGAAACTTTTGGTAATAGTTTTTAATGAGAGTGAAACTTTTGGTAATAGTTTTTAATGAGAATGAAACTTTTGGTAATAGTTTTTAATGAGAATGAAACTTTTGGTGATTGTTTTTAATGAGAATGAAACTTTTGGTAATAGTTTTTAATAAGAGTGAAACTTTTTGTAATAGTTTTTAAAGAGAATGAAACTTTTTGTAATAGTTTTTAATGAGAAAGAAACTTTTGGTCATAGGTTTTAATGAGAATGAAACTTTTTGTAATAGTTTTTAATGAGAATCAAACTGTTGGTAATAGTTTTTAATGAGAATGAAACTTTTTGTAATAGTTTTTAAAGACAATGAAACTTTTTGTAATAGTTTTTAATGAGAATGAAACTTTTTGTAATAGTTTTTAATGAGAATGAAACTTTTGGTAATAGGTTTTAATGAGAATGAAACTTTTTGTAATAGTTTTTAAAGAGAATGAAACTTTTTGTAGTAGTTTTTAATGACAATGAAACTTTTCGTAACAGTTTTGAATGAAAATAAAACTTTTTACTCGTGCCATTCAATTTTTTTTTTGAAAAGGCATTGTGGTGTGCCTCACGTTTTACAGGGTGCAAAACACTTCCTGCGTGATCAGGGCCTGATTCTGTTAATGACACAGTCAACACAGGTGGGGTCAGGTGACTGCGGTTACCTCTAATTAAGCCCATACTGACAGTGAACATGCAGGATATTTCTGCTCTGACATGATCAACTTCTCCTCCATATTGATCACAGACTGATATTTACTGAGGAAGATAAAGATATCTGTCAGCTGTGATTGGTTGGTCCTCGTCACATGATGTGTGGTGCAAGCTGTTGCAGTCCAAAAGTTGATCACTGTTTACCTCAGGGTGCAGCAGTCGCGGCCTGAAGAACAGACGCTCACATACGCATGTGCGCCGCACTGAAAACAGTGACTGTGAGGGCGCAAACAACGCGTCATGTGTACGGGTCCTGGTAGTGCGGCTCCTTTACTGCAGGATCGTGTTGCTGATGTATGTGATGATGTGTCACACTGAGTACTGACCATGAGCGCAGCCTCCTCTGCTCTCAGCTCCCTGCTCCTCTGTCTCTGCTGCTCCGCCTCGTCCATCTGACTCCTGATGACGTCCAGCTGCTTCCTGTTCCTCTGCTGCTGTCTCTGCGCTCTCTCCGTCTCTCTGTCCACTTTGCCTCGTCTGTCCGCCTCCCACAGCTCATCAAACATCCTCTCTTCCTGCTGCTGCAGCCGCCGCTGCTCCTGTCCGCTCCTCACCTGAGCTGCTCGCTCCTGACACACCTGCTGCTCTCTGCGCCGCATCAGCTCACTGCGCAGCTCCTCGCACTGACCCCTGACCAGCAGGAACCAGAACTCACATCAACGTACTGAAGTTACAGTACTGCATTCATACTGTGTAGTGTGAGGTTCTTATTGTGACAGTCTGTGAGGCTTTTATTGTGACAGTCTGTGAGGCTCTTATTGTGACAGTTTGTGAGGCTCTTATTGTGACAGTCTGTGAGGCTCTTATTGTGACAGTTTGTGAGGCTCTTATTGTGACAGGTGTGTTTACCTGAAGAGCTGCTCCAGTTTGTCTGAGACCAGCTGCTGTCTGTCTCTTTCTCTCCTGTCTCTCAGTGTCTTCACCTGTTGTCTCATCTTCGCTTGTCTCTCCACCAAAGTCTCTGTCTTCTCCTCCATCTCCTGCAGGAGCTGCTGCTCCTCCGTCTCCAACAGGACACGCAGCCTGGGGACAGACAGGTGGGGACAGACAGAGTAACTGTACACTGTGATATTGCTTCTTTTGCTCCAGTAAAGATCTGAGAACTCGTGCCCGCTGTAGAGAGACATTATGAGACCAGACGAGGTAAAAGTGTCCCTCCACAGACGAACCTGTCCCTCCTCTCGTCCACGTGGACCTTCTGTTGGTCCAGAGCAGCTCGGACTTGTCTCTCGATGGTTCCTGTCAGGAAACGGCGCTCTGAACTCTTCAGCCATGAAGTCTTGATGTCGCAGCTCCGCTGGGACTTAGCGAAGTCCAGGACTTTGTCTCGAGCAGCGTCCTGTTTCTGTCTGTCCAGGATCAGCTGGTCCGCAGGTCTCTGGGACGGGAACTTTGCTCTCTGTGACAAAACAAAGACATTCATTATTATCTGAGATTTGAATTAACTACTACAGGAGGACTGTCCCGTCCTGTCCACACCCACCAATCATGTCCCGTCCTGTCCGCACCCACCAATCATGTCTGTATAAAACTTGTTCAGAAGACAAAGACTTTAATAACTCAATGAGCACCACGTTAGCTTTAAATTATTAAATAATATAAAATCATATGATGCATGTTAATAAATATAAATGTATTTGTGATTTATTTTCTCGTCTGTATCTATTAGTATTTCTGTAACTGAATTTATGCACAATAAAGACAGTTGGGAAAAAAACACTTCCACTGTTATGCCGTTGCTACGGCAACAGCTTTGGTCCCTGTTTACTTCCTGTCAGCTGATGCATCAACAAACATTCCGACAGGAAACACAGAGACGCATTTAAGGTTCATGTTGCCACGTTACAAAAGACATTTAACAAAACCTAATTCAAGTCAACCAGCTGCAGAGGACACAACATGAATCCACCCACAGTCTGTTAGCTCCATGCTAACTCATAATGGGAGTTATCATAAACGCGCTAACGCAAATTAGCATCGCGAGAACACGATCGTAATAAACGGTTTGAGTTCACCTGAACATTTAACAACATGTTTGATCTCATTTACAGACATGGCGTCCTCTGCTCTGCTGATGACGTCACACTGTCAGCTCGGTACTGCTGTTACTGTGATCCCCGTGGACTGTTTGTCCGGTCCCGTCCCTCGTGATGAGTGGAGCGTGTCGGTGTCTCACCACGGCCACGGAGTGAGGCGTCGGTCCCGTTATCTCCCGACATCTTGTTCTTCTTTGACTCAGCAGCATTTTAAACAGCTGATCTTCAGTCTCTCTGCAGTCACACACACGGGCTGCACGTAGCCATGGTAACCACAAACACACCTGGACTAACTTCCGTTTCCGTTTTTCCTTAGGGGCCCTTCTTTAGGCTACTTATCTTTACTCTTAATATTAAATGTGTTTTATTAATTTACAGTTTCTGGCTATGATAAATGGTTTTAAAGAAAACGTGCCATGTTTTAGATTCAAATCTGCGGTAAGATAAATACAAACATTTAAATTTGTGTGTCCCTCCACTAAGCCGAAATTAAAAACACAAGTCCCTCCTCAGTGCTTAAAAAAAAGACTGATGGAGTGGGAGATGGTGTCGAAGGCTGCACTCAAGTCGAGGAGGATGAGGATGGATAAGGTTAGGATGGTTAGAGGTTATTGTTGGAGAGCTGAGAGTGAACTTGAGATGTGACGATTTTTTTTCCCAGGATTTTTGAGAGAAAAGGCAGATTGTTGGGATCTGAACCGGATTTCTTGAGAACTGGAATTACAGCAGCAGATTTGAGGGAGGATGGAACACAAGCAGAGATGAGGGAGGAATGGATGATGGCGGTTACCACAGATGTGAGGGAGGGGAGGCATGCTTTGACTAAAGGGGTTGGCAGGGGTCAAGCTGGCAGGTGGATGTTTGGATTTCCGGATGAGTTCTGATATGTCAGCATCAGAGGGAAGGTGGGGCAGGAGATGAACTGCAGGAGGTGTGAGGGGTCAGTTGATGGCGGATCCGGTCTATTTTTGTATTGAAAAATGCCATCAGTGAGTTACAGTAATCAGTTGAGTAAAAATGTGGAGGAAGAGAGTCCGGTGGGCGGAGGGTGTTGGTGACCAGTGAGAACAGTGCCCGATTAATTCAGCATAGTATTGTGATTTTGCTTTGGAGAGAGTCCTTGTAAAACAGAATTACGGCTGTGGTACATCTGCTTGTGAATAGTAAGACCAGTTTTCCTGTATAGAGCCGTTCCAGTTGGCGTCCTGTGGCTTTGAGTTGGCGTAGATGGGATGAGAACCAGGAGGCAGAGTGGGTGAAGGATACAGTCCGGGTGTTTAATGGAGCAAGTGAGTCCAACAGAGTGTGAAGACCATTATTACAATGAGAGACCAGTTCATCAGTAGAGGCAGAGGAGTTGATGTTTCCAAACCTGATGTGAGGGCTGTTAATGTTTTTGATATTGCCACATGAGATGACCCGTAGTGGTTTAGTTTTGGACAGTGTTAGGTTCGTGGTGAATGACATTAACATATGGTCAGAAATGGGGAGATCATCTGCAGAGCAGTTGAAAGGAGTGACTCCGGAGCAGCAAACCAAGTCCTTTTTAGTGTGTTGGGAAATTAATGTAGTGTTGTAATCCAAAACTGTCCAGGCATGAAGTGAAAGCCTCAGTGAGAGGGCGGTTGATGTTGTCCAGGTGTATATTAATATCTCCACGCAGAATTATATTGGGGGAAAGGGAACAGATGTGAGTGAGGAAGGTAGAAAATTCATAAATGAAGTCCTTGTTGGGTTTAGGTGGGCGGTGAACAGTGGCCACTGTAGTTGGTGTTGGATCATTTATGTGCAAGACCACTGTTTCAAAAGAAGCGTACGCAGGAACGGAGAGAGACGAGACTTTCCACAGCTCACGGTAGATTATCGCGAGACCTCCTCCTCTGCCGGTGTGACGTGGCTGACAGGTGTAAACAAAGCCATGTGGAGTGGACTCGTTCAGTTGGGAAAAGTCATTGGGTTGTTGCCACGTCCCTGTTAGACAGAGAAAGTCAAACTTACGAGGAGGAGGTCCTGAAGGAGTTGTCCTTTGCCCATGAGAGAACGGATGTTGAATAGTCTGAAGTTGACGTCGCTGCGGTCGGTGGCGGTGCATTTAATCCTTTTTCTTATTCCAAATAAAATTAGTTATCATTACAGTCCGTCTTTTAAAACTTTGTGGAGGAATTGAAGTTGGTAAGGCTTGAAAGAGGAAGGGGAACTGCGGGAGGACCATCATCATCAACTATGAAACAAAGATTGAATGAAAACCAAATGCTTTTACTGTTAGTGTTTTTCTTTTATATCAGACAAGATGAGGTTTGTTTTACCTTGACATGATTCGACGGATGTCTTCCATCTTCTTCAGAAGTGTCACCAGCTGTCATTGGTGACGTGCCTTATATCAGCTGATGTTGCGGAGGCGTAGTGGCCTGTCAAATTTAACAGGGCAACTACAACTCCTGCTGTCAGGTCGCTCCTCGAGGACGGCACTCCAGGTATGTGACAACATATATGCTCCCTCATCCCGGTTCATAGTCCTGCGGGCCCGCTTCCTTATAACCGCTGCCTCCATGATCCAGCATTGGAAACGATTATCCTCTTTATTATGTTGATCTGTTTTTCCCCGTTAAAGGGTTTTTTGGGGAGTTTTTCCTGATCAGCTGTGAGGGTCATAAGGACAGAGGGATGTCGTATGCTGTAAAGCCCTGTGAGGCAAATTGTGATTTGTGATATTGGGCTTTATAAATACAATTGATGACTCTGGCCACCTCCCAGTTCATTATGTGGTTCCCTCTTTTGCAGTGATCAAAAATGGCTGATTTCTGATTGTCTTGATAGGCTTTTTCTTTTTCCAATCGTGTCTTTTTCAATCAATCAAATCAATTTTGCGGGGTTGTGAGCGACGAACTCCCCGCGGCTTAGCTAAACACGAATCGATCTTTATGAAGGACAGCTTTGAGGTGTATCCTGTCAAAGATCCTCACACATGGGGCGTCGGTAGCGTAGTGGATAGTGCTGGCGCCCCATGTACAGAGGCATTGCCTCGCTGCAGCGGCCTCAAGTCCGGCTCGCGGCCCTTTGCTGCATGTCAGTCCCCATTCTCTCTGTCTCCCCATTTCACTTTGTCCTGTCATTAAAGGCAAAAAAGCCCATAAAAATAATCTTCACACCTACTGGAACCAATAACACCAAATACTGCAGCGGTCTTCTTAAACGTGATGTTGAGTGATAACCTGTAATGGCGGTGACAGTGCCGGTATTTTAATGAATTCTATCTCTGCAGCACCATGTGATGAGCTCATCAGCTCCAAGTACTACCTTTAAAGCAGTCCCATAACAAACACTGACAGCAGCTCTGCCGGGTCTCCAGGTTTTCTACTTGATCTCTGCAGTGCAGGGAGAACACTCAGACTGAAGCTTGTTCCTCGCAGCTGCCTGTTGATTGGTTCAGTTATTAAATCTAGTTTCAGTTTTAACTAACCCATAGTCATCAGGTGGATAAATGACTCCAGTGGGATGATCAGATGTCAGCCGCCATCTGCCAACACGTTAGTTTGTTTTCCTGAAGTCACAGAATCTCACTTAAACCTTTGGTTTGATGTCAAATTATAGAAAGACACATAATCAGACTTCAGTTAGAACAAAATGTTGCTTTATTAGAAACAAGACAGGGAGAGGGTTTGAGGGAGTCGATGGGAGGGTGGGAATCACCACCTTTCTAGGCGCCAGTTGTGGTGGAGGAGGCGCCAGTTGTGGTGGAAGAGGCGCCAGTTGTGGTGGAAGAGGCGCCAGTTGTGGTGGAAGAGGCGCCAGTTGTGGTGGA